TGTTTTTTATTAGTTGACCTTCCCCACTAATATGTGATGCCTTTGGAGCCCAAAACTGCATCCTAGTCATACTTTTTGGCCACTCCTTAGCAGAGTACTTCATGCATAACAGGTGTTTAATAAATATATGTGAAATGAATGAACTTCATATTCATCTTTGTGTCTTCCCATAGTTTTTATATAGTACCCCGAACACTGTACAGACCAGATAAAAGTTTATTGAATGAATAAATTAGTGCACAGATTCACTTGTGCATTTGATCAGTTATAACAATAGAAGTCTTGAACCAAACCTACCACTTGGAGGAAAAAAGAATAATATGGAGAGGCACCTCTGAGATCTTACATTATAACTCTTCCTCTCAGGCTATGCCCTTAATTGGCTTAGGGCCAGCCCCAGCTCTACAGCCTGCTCATCCTGTACCATATAAAATAATAGACAAGGAAGAAATTGTCTAGGAAAATACCAGTTGAAAGATGAATTACAATTTTGCTTGATTCAAAGCATAAGGTTTTCCTAGTTTCTCTTTTGAGTTCACAGAGAAGAATCAGTCAGAGTATAATATAAGCTTTGGTCACGTATAGCTCCAAAAATTTCCAATAGGATGTAGTTTTCCAAACTATTCCTTGTGATGTGATTCAAGTTCAATCAGAACTTGAATAAAATACAAATAATTTTAATAAATTAAATGGTAATAAATAAAGGTAAGTTGAAAATTTTAATAAATTAAATAATAAATAAATAGTAAATTAAATAAGGATAAGTTAAAGCATGGTCACTAGCTGCTTCTAAACAGAAGACAGAGAGCCCATGGCTTACACTGAGGTGGCTCAATCCCGTGTGCTCCTCTGAATGAAGTGGAGGAGAGCGCCACACGCAGGGCATCATAGGTAACAGATTCAGCACCTTGTTGATGCATTGAATATGGCAGTGAGAACCTGCCACCATCGCAGAACTCTTCCATTTCCTAGCAATCGAGTGATTGCTTGGATCATATCAGCACCTGTTGTAATCCCTGCGCAGGCAATCTTTGTATCTGATACCACGAAGAGACATCCGCCACTCAGCACCTCTCTCTTCATTTCTAAGGTGTTCTTCCTTTCCTCCTCATCTACTTTCCTGACCCATCACTCTTCTCTCAACTCATCTTTCTTTTTTATTCATATTCTCTCATCTTCGTATACCTAAGGCCCAATAATGATATTCACTCATACTGTAAGCATTGCCGAAATGAATTTTCCAGATCACTGAAGCTTACTCCTTTAAGAGCTAAACTATGTTTTAAAATTACTTTAACCATTTTGGCTGGGAGTTGTGAAAATGTGTCATTTGTTCTCTTTACTTCTTAACAGAGATGTGTACACTGTAGAATTTGAAACGCTCTTGACCACACAGGCACATCAATCTAAGCATGCCCTCAGGCCCTTGTGACAAGTACAGAACGCTGTTTCTGACACACATCGCCCTAGGTCACTGAAAATTACCACTTCCCTTCTTATGTCATTTTTAGGGCTCTAGATGTCCTCTTGCTGTCCGGAATTGCTTTTACTTTTCACTGCTGTCACTGTATCTCGCTTCTGCCTTTCCCCTCCCACTCTCTAATCTGCTGATTGGGTGGGGTAGGGGAGGGTAGTCAGACTGGCAAATTTGTAGGAAACATGTGTCAGATAAAGTTTTCCTGATATACATTCACTGGTCTTTGAGTAAAGGCCTAGGAACTGTCCCATGGGTAAAGTTCATTGGATTCGTGACAACGATTTCAAGAGCTCAGAAACCCTTGTTACTTAATTCTAGGTTTCAGTAGGTGTGTTAAATGAAGATGGTAGACAGGAGTTTGACCTCTGAATAGGTGAGGTATCACTGTCATTTGTACTCATGTAAAATCATGGCTTCCAGAAGGGTTTGTATTCATGGTTTTAGGCTGCACTATATGCTGCACTCTACGATCTAACATTGATCTATCATCAATCTTCATTTAAACTTCACATAAAAAAATGAGACACAAAAAGGCAAAACATTGAGTTTTGCAAATTAGAGATCATCAAACAGCATAGCTTCCCGAGATATCTCTGTACCCTGCCCTTTTCTTTTCCAGCTTCTAGCTTAGGACGCTCATTGCCCATAAGCTAAGTGACTCGCCATCATCGCAAACACACGGGGTCATTCTCCCTTCCCAGACACCATTAGCTACATCACCTTTTCAGTTTCTCAAAGGGGGACCTTGCTGTTGTCAAGGGCTCTTCCCTGTTTCTCCTTTTAAACCAGGCAATTTCAAGATTCTGGCACATATGATTTATTCCACGTCCAAGACACATTTTACTTGCTTCTCACTCAAGCCTGCTAAAATTCAATTCATGGCTCCAGAAAGCTTCTGCTTTCCAAATAACCCTCTCACCTCCATCTACCCAAATCCACCCCAAATAATAGTACCCACTCTTTCATCATTGGGCTCTCAATCTCCACTTCCTGCACACTATCATTGGTTAACTCTCAAAATATTTCTTGCTTTCATGTAAATGCTATATTTTACCTTTAGTTCTTTTTATAGTACTCCTTACCACCCACCTCCTCCTGTTCAATCTTTACATTAGCACCTTCCAGTTTTTATGTTCCATATAGTTTTACCAATGGAATTAAAGAAACATGTTGGGATTCTCTCTTTCCTCACCTGTCTACTCCAGAATCTTTTCCCTGGTCACACCTTAATATCTTCAACTACCTCTCCAGAAATTTTTAAAAATACCTCAAAAGTCACTTTTCCCATTTAATTTACTCAACTATTTCCCCTTTTATGTATTTCCCAAAACCTCTAGAGAAATGATTACCAGATTTTCTATTGTGGTTATTCCCCACATACATCTGACCCTCCTGCTTCCTCAGACTGTAATTGCCAACACTAGCAGGACTGGACTTCTGAACACTTACATGGCACTATGCAGCATTACACAAATCCCATTCCCCAAACTGCAACTCCTTGGCATCCTCCCACCAGTCCATTCTTTCACCTCTCCCATAGTTTTCCAGTTTGGCCAGTAGAATCCTCATTCCATGACAAACAAACTCTTTTTCTGCCTTCAACTCATCCAGAAGGACTTCTCTCTGGAAATCTGGGCCTCCCTGAGAGATGCTGCTGGACCTCTGACTCCCGCATCCCTCTGGAAGGAAAGAACCCATTCCTCCACAGTACGGACACCTCAGGGGCAGGAGTGGGGGAGTGTCCACTTGCTCCTCAGAGCCACTAAAACGCCAACATTTTGCCAGCCTCAGGTAAAATCCTCTCCTCCTTCCAGGCCCATGACCTCTGACTACACTTGCTCTCCATCTCTCAGTGCTGTGGCCAATTCATTTAACACACCTGCTTTCCATGTGCTTGACCTCTTCATGTCCATTCTTCTCTTTCACTCACTTCAGCCACCCACATTCTGGACCCCACCTTGGACCCACTCATCCTCTAGGACTACTCCCCTTGCTACTTCCCACCCACCCTGCTCCCTAAGGCCCTCGTCCCAGCCAGCCTGCTCCCTGACCTCAGAGAGCATGGCAATCTGTCAAACCTCCCATTTGACTGGCCCATCCTGGCCTTTCTTCCTTCCCTTCCCAGCTTGGCTTCTGGGTCTGATCTCTAGAATTGCTTCCTATTTCCTACTTTCTGGCTATCATGCTCTACATCAGCGGTCCCCAACATTTATGGCACCAGGGACCGGTGCTCCTATGGGAACCTAATGCCTGATGATCTGGGGTGGAGCTGAGGTGGTGATGCCAGCACTGGGGAGCAGCTGCAAACACAGATGAAGCTTCGCTCGCTTGCCGGTCACTCACCTCCTGCTGTGCGGCCCGGTTCCTGACAGGCCACGGACTGGTACCGTTCGTTCCAGGTCCATGGCCCAGGATTTTGGGACCCCTGCTCTAGATCTCTATTTAGATCACCTATAGTCTTAATTGAATCTCCTCCTAAGTGCCAGCTCCATTCACTCTTGGTTTGGCTTGCTTCACTCCCTTCCAAGCTTCCCTTCTGAATGAATTATATGGAAATCTTGCATTTCTATTACAATTTAGTATTTTAAAAAATGTTTTTGGATATTTATTATTTTATTCACAAGACAACTTCTTATGGGATGGAAGCTCAAGAATATTGCAGCCAAAAAAAATAAAGTTTATGGAGTTATGTGGCTTCCTCAAACTCTCACAGTCTCCAAAGAGTAGAATTGATTGGCCATCTTAATATCAGACATATTTTCTTTCAGCCCATCTGAGACACCTATGCTGTGCTCAATTATTCAACATGCTAGTTGTGGGGATGACACATTAATCAAGAAGATAAAGGGGACCATTGTGAAGGCAGGATTCACCTCAGGACCAATTTTCTACATGCAGTCATCCCAGAAGCAAACACTCAGTTGACGTCTGCTGGTTCCGAGAGAGAAATGACTCCAATCAAAGAGAAACTCCATGCAGGCCAAGCTGCTCTGTGCCCTCTCTGTGCGGGCCCCCACAACCAAAACCTAACAAACGAAGAAGAGTCACAGCACTGGAAGAGCAACTAAGCCCAGAGACAGTGAATCGGGGAGAGAAGAGGGCAATTTGGAACTTACTATGGGGAAACTCCTTTCGTGCCTAATTAGTGTGCACTGGAAGAGAAGACTGGTATGTGACATGCTCACTTTTGAACAAAATAAAAATAAAATAAAACATCCTGTGCCATCTAGACATTTACTATGTAATAAAGACCTTAAATACAATCAGCTACAAATCCTAATGGATATATAGATAACAATGATATTGAACGAAGACATAAATTAAATTCTTAAAATTCTTTTATGAAATATGTGTAAAAAAAACAAAAAAAAGTATCCCTCTACAAATCTTTCAGCTTCTTGGATAAAAACTGTTACATTACATCTGTATTTGTATATATCCCTAATAAAACTAATATTGTTATCTGCCCTAGGACTGCTCTCCCTCAACAAATATGCAAATATATAGCAAAGTAATCATTTACCTTATAGAAGATCAAAAAGAGATCATCCAGTTTCCCATGCAAATCACCTGGAATGCAAATGAAAATTCACTATTCAGTAGGAAACAAGAAAATACCCATTTCGTTGCAGAGTTTTAAAACTGAAATACTGCTGATATATTTCAAGCATTCTCAGGGCATTGGGTTTTCACCCTGTGATGATATTAATTCAACAATTTGTTTCCATAGCGCTTTATAGGAACTTTGTCCGCTTTCCTATAGGGGACAGCATCTGATACTGAAATTATCTATCCACTCCTGCCATTTATGCAGTGCTTAGCTTCCTGCACTAAGAGTTTACATGAATTATACCATTCAATCTTCACAGGCACTCTATGAGATGGGTATTATTTTAATCATTTTCATTTTACAAATGAGCCTCAGAGTAGTTAAATAACTTATCTATATACAGTTACCCAGCCGCCAAGTAGCAGAGCTTGGAATTCAAACCCAACTTTATCTCTCTTCAAAACTGAAGCTCTTAGCTATTATTCTGTACTGCCTACACTGTAATCTCTAGGAGAACAGCAATAATATCTATCTTGGTATTAAACCCCCAAGTGCCTCCCATAGTACCTGGTACATAGCAGGTGCTTGATAAATACATTTAATTTCTAAATGGATAGCTTTGTAAAGCCATGTTTTAAAGAATATGTTCCAGTAGTAGCATCTAAAACTTAAAAATTGTGAGTAGATAGTTTTGATGAGACATCCTTTTGATGAGACAGCTATAGAAAATAAAAATGGAAGCATGGCTTTATAAAACTCAGCCAACTAATGAAACAATATGTAAATATTCAAAAGGCCTATTTCAATAACTGTTTCTAGGTAAATATTTCGTCAGTTCTGATCATGAATTTTTATTCTTTGTACCCAACTTAATTATCAAATAGAATTTAATTTAGGAATACTTTTCCTCAATTTGTTTAAAATTCCAAAACCAAAATTAACCAAATCTATGCAACAGAAGATTCCAATTATAATGAGAATAAAATTAAAATCCTATATTGCCAACACTTATTTATAAAATGACTACAATATTAAGAGCATATTAATACCAGTGTATACTTAAATCTCATTGCTTTCATATGGCCTCATTCCAAATCTAAGGAAATAAAAATGGAAGAGCTTTATACTGATCAGTTAAATATTTTTAATTTTTATATTCCTAATTTTCTTCTGGGTGACTTGTTTTTCAAAGATTTGGGTAGAGAGAACTGTTGCAGCTGGCATGCTAAAAAATGAATTAGTTTCAGGATATTAAGAGCTGAGACTATAAAAATATTTTTAACTTCTAGTTGGACAGCAAAAGATAAAACTTGTATCATGAAAAAAATAGCCACAGAAAGATGTTTCTACTGCAAACAAAAACATGAGTGCAGAATTGATTATCATTTATAACATAATTGTAGATTAAAATACCTCCTATATTTCAGTCATATTGAGACCCATGTAGCATGTTTAGATGTGTACATAAAAATGCATCTGGAAATTAAAATAATGGTAAAGTTTTATAAAAATTTCTCTCTTTCCTAATATTGTCTTAAACAGATGTTTTTGAAAATATGGCCCCAATTTTAAATTTTATATGATAACCAAATTTTTCTAAGTTCAATGGGTCTATTAAAAACAGAAAATAATAATTGCCATGCTAAGAGAATGTGCTAGCCTTGGCTTTTCCCTCTACCAATGGTGCTATGTGGAAAAAGCCCGGAGATAAATGCCCAAGATGTGGGGATCTTTAAATGAATGGAACTGTCCAATCGATCCATTCCTTAGTCTTTGTATCATCATAGAAAATGAAACATCAGTCAAAGCAGTGCACGATGGGGTGGGGGTGGGAAGTTACTACAAAGAAAGACATGGAAGGAGATACACTTTTCTTTTGGGCCTCAATTTCATCCATAAGAGCAAATAATAGACAGATGGTCTAAGAACCCTTTGGTTCTTACACAGCGTGATTCTAGAATTCCATGCCCTCTATTTAATTTATGTCTTCTTCCAGATCCTTTTACCTAAATATAAGTCTGCAATGGCAACTGGAGGTATATTGGAAACATGTGAGAGCAGATCCCACTCTCTGTTTGGCCTATTATATATACTCTGATAGCAAATCTAGCCCTGGCTCCATAGGCTTCATGGGTACGCATGGCTTACTAAGCCTCATGACCCTAAATCCTTCATGAAAAGTAAGAGCTGGTGAGGCCTTGAATAAAAGGCCTCCACTGGTGCTGAGATGCATCACCTGCTAGGCAGAGATGTTGTGCACTGATTAATTGGAATATAACCATTAAAGACTCTTCAAAAACCCCGAGTTGGGGCATGTCATGGAGCACGTACCACTCCATCAAGTTCCTGTCACCACTATCAGATGCTAGAAATGGAAATGGTTTAATTGGATTGTCAAATCCACTTCTACCTGCCAGAGTAAAAGAAACATAAGCTAAAAATTGATCTGGAAAATAACAATCACTGTTTTGTAACCTAAAGGCTTCATTAGAAGTTAAGGGAATTGCTGTTCCTCCCACGCACTCCATTCTCAGACAGGTGCGAGCATGCTGAGCACCAACTGTGTTGAATTTCAATGTGTACTGTTTCTTGAAGCAATATCCTGCCAGGCTGGCCTATAGGATAACAAAATCTCAATCTTGTTATTTAGAAGAACAAGGAACAGATTTCTGGGACATTCCCACTCTTCTAAAAGCTGCAGAGACCAGTTGGAAAAATCTAAAATGGCAGCCAAGGGCAGAGAAGAGTTTACTCTGCACCAGGCCTTGGGCTTTTCTCTTCCCAGCATAAGTGGCATGCGGAGGCACACCTAGAAAAAGCAACATGGAACAAAGATAATGAGAGATAGACAGAGGGCAAAGAATGCCTATTCTATCCATGGGTGGTTTTCTGTATTAAAATGCTGCCTGCCTTTATAAAAAGCTATGATTTTTTAATTTCTCACATAATTAATTCCTGCCAGCTGGTATGTGAAACAAAGACAAGATGGGGAACAGTAAAAAAAAAATAAAGATGGGGAACAGTACTATCATCATAGATAATTCTATATTAACACCTTTCCCTTAACACAGTCCAATTCACACAGTTTTCAAGTTAGGCAAATGACGTGGAACCAAAAGTCTCCAAAATATTAATTTGGCAACTCTGCTCTGAAACTTACCGCAGATTGTTATGTCTTTGGCGGGAGAAGATTTTACGTGAGTGAAATTTGGCAAGTTCCTGAGGTTTTTCTTGGTTTCAAATAGCACCTCTAAGACATAACGAGCATGCAGTATCTGTGAAGGCAAAGCAGAGGAAACATATAATGAACTAGGAAGAAAAGCATGACTGCATAGAAAGCTATAAAGGTGGAGCATATGAGCACATTCCAGGTAGCTATATTTCAGGATCATCCCTAAATTATTCTCAAATAGATGATTCCAGTACAGTGTCTGGCAAATAATAAGCCTTCACTAGAGATCTGTAAATTGAATGAATGAATGAATGGTTCCTAGGATGTTTATACTCTCATGTTCTTAACTGACATCACCCATTCGCAAAACATTTCTGATTATTCTTGGTCCGTAGAGCCCAAGAGAAGTGATGAGGGAAAAAACAGGAGACTCCCTTGCCCTACAGATAAATCAATCGATCATTCAATCAATGAGGAAGGAAAGGGAAAAGAATGAGAAAGAGAAAGAGAAGCAGACAAAGGCTGTTGAAGAGGGGCTGCTTTGTCTTTGGGACGTCCTGCCACCTGGGATGGAAACTAGGCGGTGATCCTGGATTTGTTGAGATCTCAAAAGGCAGCAAGACGAGAAACTCCTGAGCCAGGCATCCCAGGTGTGGCTCAATTGTTGGTGCACAGACGCCAGAGTTTACAGAACAGCAAGCACATTTATATTGTACAAGTTTAAGTACAAAACACATCACAGACCCAAATAAAGTATTTGGATTATCTCCTATTATGACTATTCATTCCATTGATCTCCTTCAGTTACATTCTTGATACATCATTGTTTTGGACAAATTTACTCTGTTTTCTCCCCTGGGCTTTTTGTTTGTTTATTTGAAATCCAGTGTGTCGTTCTCTTGTTTATTAAATTATAAAATATTCCAAATATATAAGCTAAAATGTAATATAGCCAATAAAAATTTAACAGAGGCTAACACCACCTTATGGATCAGGACTTTTAGTATGTGCACTACCCAATATAGCAGGCACTAGTGCGATGCGGCTATTGACTACTTGAAATGAGGCTACTTGAAATTGAGGTGTGTTGTAAGCACAAAATACACGCCATATTTCAAAGACTTAGTACAAAAAAAGTAAAATGTTTCATTAAAAACTTTGAATATGATTACATATTAAAATGACAATTTTATGATGGATTAAATAAAATACATTATTAAAATTAATTTCACCTGTTTCTTTTTACTTTCTTAATGTGACTACTAGAAAAATTTTAAATTATGTATGTGGCTCACATTATATTTCTATTAGACAGTACTGATTTAGATTACTGGAGGCTGAGAGAGTGGTCATATCTACATATTGTTCATATACTGCTTTGGGTATTGGATTCAGGGCAGATGGAACCCTTTGGAACAATTATGTCTCATGGTATCCTGAAATTTCCATTTCTATAGCTATTAAAATAATAAAATTATTTTCTATCCCAGATCCCCAAAATATATGATTTAAATTTGGAGAATTTTCATGATAATTTTTTAAAAGACAGGAATCAGGATTTGAAGCGATGCGAGAATTAAGAGGAAAGAGAAGGGCCCCTGGATGTTGACTAGTGGGGAGAGACTGAAAATGAAATAATTATAATCAGAAATAAAAGTGGGGACATCTCACCAGTCTTAAAGAAATAAAAATTATAAGAGAATATTATGAATAATTGTATGCCAATAAATTAGATATCTTAGATGAAATGGAAAATTCCTAGAAACAACACATTACCAAAACTGACTCAAGAAGAAACAGAAAATCCAAATGTATCCAGAATAAGCAGAGATTGAATTGGAAATCAAAAACCTAACAAAGAAAAGTCTAAGACCAGACAGCCTCACTGATGAACTCCACTAAACATTTAAAGAATTAACACTAATCCTTCTCAAACTCTTCCAAAAACTAGAAGAGGAGGAAAAATTCCTAAATCATCCTATGAGGCTAGTATTACCTTGATACCAAAGCCAGATAAAGACACCACTAGAAAAGAAAATACAGACCAATATCCCTTATGAATAAAATGCAAATCCTCAATAAAATACCAGCAAATCAAATACAACAGAATTTTATTTATTTATTTTTGATGTACATGAAACATGATAAAATAATAATAGCTAATATATTTTGAACATATTTTGTGTGACAGACACTATTACATTTCATGCATTGTCATAGCTAATCCTCATAACCTATAAGGTAGGTAGGTACAATATATATGTATTTTTCTCTTTTTTTAAAAATTTTAAACAAGTTTATTGGGGTGACATTGGTTAATACAATTATATAATTTTCAGGTGTACATTATCATTTGACATCTGTATATTCTATTGTGTGATTACCACCCAGAGTCCAGTTTCCTTCAGCTACCATATATTTGATCCCCTTTATCCCGTCTACCTCCCCCCTTCTCCCCCACCCCACTAGTAACCACTAGTCTATAGTCCTCTGATAACCACTAGTGTATAGTCCACGTCCGTGAGTCCCTGTTTGTCTTGCTCATTTGTTGCTTTTAGGTTTATATCCCACATATAAGTTATATCATGTGATTTTCAGCTTTTTCTGTCTGGCTTATTTCGTTTAGCATGATTATCTCGAGGTCCATCCATGTTGTCACAAATGGCTGTATTTCATCTCTTCCTATGGCTGAGGAAAATTCCATTGTATGTATATACCACAGCTTCTTTAGCCAATAATCTATTGTAGGATACTTCG